CCAGAACAGTTCCCGCAGCATTGCGCTAAAAAAAAAAAACGACACCCCCCCCACCACAAAAAAAAACAAACAAAAAAACAAAAACAACAAAAACAACAGCGACAACAACAACCAAGAAAACAACAAACCCCAAAATCCTCAGGAAATTGAAATGCAAAGATTACATGAGGTTTCCCCGCATCATTATCTTCTCTCTGCATGCACCATCCCCCTTACTCCTCTTTGTTTCCGAACCAAGCAAAGAAAGAGAGCAACAAAACTGGGCTTAATGTTAACTGGCAAACATCCAAAAAATAAAGCAACCAAAATCAGTGGGAATTTCAGAACTTTATATGCAAAAATCATTTACCAAGCTCATACAGGAGGTGCTGGAGCAGGATGAACATGACACTGACTCTGAGTTTCAGACTGATGTGCTCTGACCCCTGAATCATCCCTTGTTCACCAATGGATGAACTAAGAAGAAAATACCTTTTTTTTTTTATTATTATTATTTTTTCCTTTCATCTGTATGCATGTTCCTCTGCTTGGAAAGCAAAACCAAAGCAGAGAGCTGCCTTCCCTCTCACAGTTGTTACTCAATTACTCTCAGACTGCTGCTCTTAGCCAGCAGCAATACAACACAGCTATGTTTGAGCCAAATGTTCCAAAATGACTAGACAGAGGTTTCTACCAGTCCTGAGCTTGCTTCTGATTTTGTGAAAACATTCCTGACCTGGCATAGCTCTTAAAATACTGCATTCCCAGTAGCTTCAGTGTAACTCTTCATCTTACTCAGTACTCTAATGCATGCTTCAGCAATATGTGGCTTTTACAGGTATTTTTTAGATAGCTAAATTGACTTGTTGCCATTACCTCTGCTCAGCTACTAACTTAACTTTCTTGTATAGTCACTGGTGACCAAAGGGAAAGGGAGCTGTGGTGGGAAAGGAAGATGACCCTAGAGGTCCCTGAGCTGGACAAGCTGGGATCTCACACAGCAAACTGCACATTCTCAGTGCTGTACTGCGGGTCCGAGTCTATTCTGTACAGTCAGTCTTCCCACAGAGTTTACATGTGATGGGGTAAATTAATTCTCCAAGGCCTGATACTGGAAGCAAGACTTCAAGGTGCTTTAATCCTTTGGGATAACAAAGAAATGGGAGAGACTCCACAGCATTCCAAAAAAACCCAACCCAATTTCCCCATTTCCACCTTTTCTTAATGCCTGAGAACAGGGCTCTGGGGGCAATATGCAGGATTAATGGACTTGGCTGTCTCCTGTCATGCCCACTTATTTCAGCGAGCAGTGCCTTTCTAGCGGAGATCATGCTTGGTCTGAGTGGGACGGCAGGATAGCATGCTATCCCCTAAGGACCTGAGAGTATATTACATATGCATTCATGATAATGCAAACTCCTTATCCTCATTGCAGATACCCGGAGGCTTAACATCATTCTCCCCTATTGGCTATCTAAAACAATGTCAGTGATTAAATCTCCCTTCTCTAATCACACCATAATATTATCCCTTCTAGGAACAAGCCATACCAGTATAAATACTAAAACATAAGCATTTTTATGCTGCTATAACTGTGCTTACCCAAAAGGAATTCCATTTTTTGACAATACTGGTAAAATGAGCACTGAAAATGCTCAAAAATCCTTCTAGAAGGTTCCATGTTGTCTAGTAGCAACACAAATTTGCTACGGGAAGCAAATAAGCAAGTGTCACTCAGGTTTTCTTGTGTCATGCTCTGAGCAGATCTGAACAATATGGTTGCTAAACCAAGACATCCTGTTTGTACAATGTTTCCATGTTGGTAGTGCTGCATCAGAGGTGAGCAAACAGTTTCAGAGTACTTCAGAAATACTTAAGTATAAGCAGTTTTTACAGGGGAAAAAAAAAAGAAGAAGAAAAAGGTAAAGTCTTTAGCAAGGCTTTGGAAGCGGAGAATCTTACAGAAGAAGCAAGTGTTGCATGGTGCTGCTGGATATTAGCATGGCTATATGTTAATTTTGAAATAGCGGGCATAAATGTATTTCATGAGCAATGCTACACAGTTGCCATCATTAATACAGAAATACTCTGAATAATATGTGAATTAATACAGAAAGAATCCTTTAAAATCTTTCTTCCATGGAAAAGCATGACCCAAACAGCTTGTCAAGAGCCATGGTCTGTGCATATCAAAACAATATTCTCTGGCACAGGATATGTGATGCATGCAGGAACAGCTTGATTATGCCTGCTAACTTGATTGTCTACATGTGATTAATCCTACAGGGTATTTCATTTTAGGATGGGGATTTTCCCCTCAAGGCCGTTTACTTCTCTCCTTCCACTGAAAAGCAGTAAGATTGGAGTCCTGGAGTCTGTAGCTTCGTGTTTAGTCATTGCCTATGGAGTCACTGCAGATGGTATCTGCTCAATGCTACCAAATGCTAGATGGTGTCTACTAAGAGCACAGAAACCCATGAAATTATTTCTAAATGCTTTCAAAGTACACATGCCTCATCAAGGTAGTGAGTAAGCTCAGCTGAGGGACCTACTCAAATACATTTTGTAAATTCAATTTTAACTTACAAGTCTGTATTAGTGTCACATGGGACAAGAGAAAACATCTGTGCTTCCAAATCCCTCTAAAGAGATAATTTCATAGGGAGGACTGGACCTTGTAATTATTATTTTTATAAATTTGTTTTAATTGGACTGTTCCATGGCAGGGAAGACTTCTTTTCTCAGTGGGGCTCTGTGTACAAGATAACCAGGATTAAAGACCACAACCAGCCATTGAATAAGAAAATCCCTGAGAAGAGAGAAACAGCTGGAGAGAGGCCAAAATCTCTGCCAAGAGATGCTTCAGTGAGTAAGTGCATTCACTCTGATGAGGGGGCCAGAGGATAGCTCTTGAGAAACAGTTCCTGAATTAGCTTTCAGTCTTGTTACTTGGCAGTGAACTTTATGGCTTTCCAATGAGGAGCGGGCTTCACAATCCAGCCCAGTGTCCTCCCAGTGATGACATACTGGATGTCACTAGGCTGTACGAGAAAGACTGTCAGCTAAGGAAACCCATTAGTGAAGGCTTGAAATCTTCTTTTTACTCACTGGGTATTGCTTTTGGCATGAGAACAAAAGTGGTAGTGCAAAAGGAAGACTGACAGCAAAGTAATGATGAGAAAAAGGATTAAACTGAGTTTAAGTTTCTAAAAGTGACTAGTTTACATTAATGGTTTGCTGAGAACACAGAGAAAGTACTGGGCAGTTTGCATGGTGGTGAACAAATATCTAATATCAGAGAACTGCTAAGGATTTTGCCCTTTCCACTCATTAGTGAAGACTGTTCATGTCTTTTCAGGATAAGGCCTAGCCTGATCTGCTCTTTAAACTCAAGATATCCATTATTTGAGCAGAGAAAGGCATAAAGTTAAAATATCAAGTGAACCCAACATTTCTTTGAGGTGCCATTTGCTTATTTCTTTTAAAGTCTCTTGTGGCTCTTTAGTAAGTTGTACTCCCCACATTTTTATGTCCTTTTAAATAAAGCACATGTGGCTCTTGGCAATGCAGCTTATATGGTCATAAAATCTGACTAACTTTGTGCTAAATTCTAATTAAGAAATTTAATCGAGCCTCTAGTTGCTACTCTATGTGATCAGCAGCTGGGGACCGCCTAATCATTCAGAGATCTGGGCTACTTTCCTTTTGTTTATTTAAAGAGCTGTACATGACACTGTTCTTTCTTTACAACAAACTCCCTTGAAATACTGGATAACGAATGAAAACAGCATGTAGACCTTGTGGCTATTCCTAGACAACCATCTGAGTACAATGTAAGTGATACTGAAGCTGTCTCGTTTTGGCTTAGGTAAAAATCTTCCTTTGTTTCACGCAGAAAAATAGCAATATTCTTTATTCTTGAAAAGCTTTACTGCTAGAAAAGCTGAATTGTCAAAAGAAACATTTTATTGTTATAGAGATTTCACCACTGTTATTTTCCACCATGTTCTTCACTCTGAGACTTTGTTATACATCAAAACCAAATCCAGTGTCAATCATCTGTCTCTCAGCAGCAGAAAGTGACACCCATATGAAGAGCCCTTGAATGAGACTTTGAACTTGACATACTGGTAAACATCCAGAGCAGCTTTGCTGCAGTCATTACATACATTCTGGTGTAACTCAGGTCAGGCTCTCTGTATAGTGCCCAGCTTCTTCTGAGAAGGATCAGTTGCACTCCAGTAAATTAAACAGTAACACTAGTAATAACCCAGGTGCCCAGATTTTTCAATGGTCTTACCCCTGCCAAGCCTATTTAGCCAGGCTTATTTATAATTACAGCATGCAACAGCCTGACATCTACCATATTTCATAGCTTCTGCATCACAGGTTTGTTAATGGCCCTGTTCTGTTGAAATGGTTTCATCTGATAAGATTATTCTGGTAAAATGGGCTTAACCTTGGGAAAACAAAGAATAGATTGAAATAGAGTTCACCCTTCCTTCCTCTTCCAGTCTACAAATGCAGGCACAGGGAGCACTTCCCTCCCATTTTAAACCACATCATCCTGCCAGGAAAATGCCATCTCCCGTTCCACGCGTATTTCCCACCGTGCGGGTGCGGAGCGCTGGTCGGCCTCTGCCACCTGCTGGCAAAGCCTAAAACGTTCAAGACCTTAAATCGGAGGCTGAAGTGTTATCTTACACACGTCTAAAACCCGGTGCCTTCAGCTAAAACCAGCATGGAACAAAGAGGACAATTTCCTGCTTCTTTTGCTTTTCCCACATTTTTGTCTGCAAAGACTGTGCCGGTAGAACTCTGTCAGAAAAATACCTCCAAAATAAAAACAGTTGCCATTGCATATATACAGTGCTTTTATAGCACGGTGGTGGGAGGAGGGATGGCATATCAGAATTGGCTCCATCCAACTTGAATTTCTACTCCTTGTGCAGCAGAACCTTATTAAATAGGTTTCACCTCCTCTCGTCTCATTAGGCTACAAAGTACTGCGCGCTGTCCAGATGCGCAGCCTGGCGGTGCGCCTGCGGAGCAAGCTTTTCCTGCACGGGTTTAGAGCGTACTTCCAGAACAGTATTCCAAGCCGGGAGTGGATCTGTGTGGGGTCGCCTCCCTTCTCCTTTTGCGGGGCGGCGGAAGGGAAGGAGCCCGGCATGTTTTCAGTGGGATGACGGTAAAACGTACGACCTTTCGTTCTACACAAGCACACAACCAAAACTCCCTCCGGTGGGCGGACGTTTCCTTCCCGCGATCCCATTCCCGGACGCTTCGGGGCACTCATACGCACAGGCCCCGGCGGAAGCGCCCTGAGAGGGCGGGGCGGCATAGCGCAGGCGGCCATGGCGGCGGGCAGCGCGGCGGAGCGGCGGAGGCGGTTGGCCCGGCTTTCGGCGTTGTCCGTGTACCGGCGGGCGGCCGGGGCCGGGCAGCCCGAGCGTCCCCGTGCAGGCGGCAAGTGGGCCAAGGCGCGGCCGAGGCGCGGCGGTGGTCCAGAGCTCAAGGCCCCGCCTGAACCGAGTGCCTCCGCTCCCGTCAGCCGCGTGGAGAGGGCCAAGGCGCCGGCCCGCAGCACTGAAGCGAAGCGGCAGCGTGGCACAGCGGAGGGCTCGGGAGAAGGCGGCGGCAGGGCGGGAGGCGGCGGTCCGGAGCCCAAGGCCCCGTCTGAACCGAGTGCCTCCGCTCCCGTCAGCCGCACGGAGCAGGCCAAGGCGTCGGCCCACAGCGCTGAAGCGAAGCGGCAGCGCGGCACAGCGGAAGCGGTGGGCTCGGGAGAATGCGGCGGTGTGGCGGGACTGCTGCGGCGCCTGGGGCAGCTGGACGACAGCCGCCAGCGGGCGGCGGAGCTGTTCCGGTGGCTGCTAGCTCCGGTATCGCCAGCGGAGTTCGTGAGGCGGCACTGGGAGCGGGCGCCGCTGCTGGTGCGGCGGAGCGAACCCGGCTACTACGCAGGGCTCTTCTCCACGGCCGAGTTCGACGCGGCCCTGCGAGGCGGCGAGGTGCACTTCGGAACCCACCTGGACGTGACCAGCTACGCCGAGGGAGTGCGGGAGACGCACAACCCATCTGGCCGGGCTTTACCCGCAGTCGTGTGGGACTTCTACCAGAACGGCTGCTCCCTGCGGCTCCTCAGCCCCCAGACGTTTTCCGACACCGTCTGGCACTTCCTCGCCATCCTGCAAGAGCACTTCGGCAGCATGGTGGGGGCCAACACATACCTCACACCACCAGGGACGCAGGGCTTCGCCCCCCACTACGATGACATTGAGGCCTTTGTGCTGCAGCTGGAGGGCAAGAAACACTGGCGTGTCTACAGCCCTCGGGTGGACGCTGAAGTGCTGCCCCAGTTCTCCAGTGCGAACCTCACGCAGGCTGAGCTTGGTGAACCTATGCTGGAGACAGTGCTGGAGGCTGGGGACCTGCTGTATTTCCCCCGTGGCTTTGTCCACCAGGGCGACTGCCTTCCTGATGCACACTCCCTCCACATCACTGTGTCTTCCTACCAGAGGAACTCCTGGGGGGACCTCCTGGAGAAGCTCCTGCCAGCTGCCCTGCACATGGCCCTGGAGGAGGACGTGGAGTTCCGGCAAGGGCTTCCCATGGACTACCTGGGATACATGGGGGTTGCCAACTCAGACAAAGTTGATGCTCGCCGAACAGCCTTTATGGAGAAGATACAGAGCCTGATAAAGAAACTTGTTGACTATGCACCCATTGATGCTGCTGTGGATCAGAGAGCCAAGTCGTTTCTTCATGATTGTCTACCCCCAGTGCTTACACAAAGTGAAAAGCTGCAGAGTATGTATGGCTTCCCAGCCAGGTGGCAAGACGGAGGGCCCTGTAATGTCGATATTCTGATAACAAAAGACACAGAAGTCCGTCTCCTTCACCATGGCATCATTAGATTGTGTAATGAAGAAGCAGGGGTGATGCTGTATTACACGACGGAAAACTCAAGAGTGTATCACAAGGAAGAACCCAAGTTTCTTGAGCTAGGTCCTGAGTATGTAGACAGCATTGAATTTCTCCTGTCTTCCTATCCAAACCACATCAGTGTGGATGCCCTTCCATGTGAAACCTTGGAGGACAAGATATCTCTAGCCACACTCCTGTTTGAGAAGGGCATTCTGACTACCAAGAAGCCTCTGGTACAAATATAACTCTTTTTTTTTTTTTTTTTTTTTTTAGCAAAATAAATATACATTTGTTTAGAAAGTGTTCTGTCTCATTCTTGCCTCATGCCTGCTAGGTGTGAAACAAGAGTTCAGATCACAGTATCTCATGTGGGGGCAGAAGGGCTTTGGCATCGGCAGAGAAATCGGATGTTCTCATTAAAGGGAGTGATTCTGCATGGCTGAGTGACTAGAGAAGGGAAGTGCTTAAATTTTTTTTTCCTTTCAATAGCCATATTCCTATGTTCTAGGTAACTTCAGGAAGCTAGTGAACTTTCTTGCAGTCATCTGTGTTTACACAGTGTTGTAATGCAGCCTGCCCTACTGCAGGAAGTACTTGCATTACTCACAGGCAGATGTGGTGATGATCACTGTTCTGTGCGCCTGTGCTGTACTGCATGAGACATACAGCGTGCCCTTCAGGCCTATGCTGTGCTGCAAACACCTGTTGGCCATGGGAAAAACTCAGCCAGCAATTCTAAAAGTGGAGGTGGCAGGCAGCTCCTGCTCAGTGACAGTGATTACACCACCTGCATACTGCATAGCCATGTCCTTGCTGAACAGTGAGCAAGATGTTCTCTTGTGAACGTGAGCTGCTGTCTTTGAAATGCTTCAGGATCTGTCTCTTCATTTTCAGTCTGATAATTGCAAGTGATAGAATAACCTCTCCCACTGGTTTTCCCACAGCAGCCCCTAGTAAGGAAATTATTAGTCCTTTCAAGTTAAGTGGTTGTCATGGTTTAAGCCTAGCCAGTAACTCAGAACCACACAGCCACTCACTGACTCCCCCCTTTTTCTTCCCACTCTGGGCTGGATGGGTAGGAGAATCAAAAAAATCCCATGGGTTGAGATAAGAACAGTCCGATAACTAGATAATATTAATAATAGGGGAAGTAACAAGGGAAAAGAATATAAAACCTAAAAAATGAAGAGGAAAAAAGCTCCTGAACAATAAACACAAGTGATGCACAGCATAATTGCCCACCACCTGCAGACCAATACCCAGTGCAACCTGAGCAGCGATCTGGCACTTCCAGGTAACTCCCCCCAGTTTATATTCTGGGCATGATGTGCTGTGGTACGGAATACCCCTTTGGCTAGTTCAGGTCAGGTGTCCTGTCTCTGCTCCCTCCTGACTTGTGCCCCTCGTTACTGGCAAAGCAGGAGAAAGTCCTTGATTGGGGTAAGTATTACATAGTAACAACTAAAACTATGGGTGTGTTATCAGCATTTTTCTCAGTCTAACACCAAAACACAGCAGTGCACCAGCTACTAAGAAGGAGAAAAATAACTGTTACAGCTGAACCCAGGACAATGATATACCCTCCAATATGGGGGTTTTCATGCTGGGTGCAAAAAGTTTTGTGTCAGGATCTAACAAGTTAGATATATACACACCTGGCAGTATGGCCAGTTCCCATACTGACAAGCCTCAGCTATATTTTTCCACAATGCTGTTTCATCATTGCAGTCATCAGGTGACAGATACTCTGTCTTCAAAGTCTCCCAAAGCCATACTCACAAGGAGCAGGCTGCGTTACCCTGTGCTCCTCTAAGCTGCTGGGTCATAAGGGGTTTGGGAGATGGCACCCATGCACTCTAATTCTTTAGGATTTAACTGTACACTATTTCCTCCAAAGTCCCATACTTGCAACAACCAGTGTGCCAGACTTTACCCTCTCTTTTGCCTATATGCTTTTGCTAAATCTTGAAGCACACCACCAGAGCCCCTGGGGACCCCTTTCCTTTCTGAATCATAGAATTTATTCCAATTGCAAGAATGATTAACAGAATCATAGAAAGGTTTGTGTTGGAAGGGACCTTAAAGCTCATCTAGATCCAACCTTCCTGCCATGGGCAGGGACACCTTCCACTAGACCAGGTTGCTCAAAGCCCCATTCAACCTGGCCTTGAACACTGCCAGGGATGGAGCAGGCACAGCTTCTCTGGGCAACCTGTGTCAGTGTCTCACTACCCTCATAGTGAAGAATTTTTCCCTAATATCTAAACTAAATCTACCCTTTTTCAGTTTAAAACCATTCCCCCTTGTTCTGTCACTACATGCCCTTATAAAATATCCCTCTCCAGATTTCTTGTAGGTCCCTATAGGCACTGGAAGGCTGTTAAAAGCTCTCCCTGGAACCTTCTCTTCTCCAGGCTGAACAAGCCCAACTCTCTCAGGTTGTCTTCATAGAGAGGTGCTCCAGCTATCACCAGTGGCTGGACAGAAATGCTATTGCCGCATTAATCCTCTAATCCCTCTGTCGCCTCATTATGACCAGATGATCAGCAGTCCTCATGGCACCGTTCATTCCCCTTGTGGAAAAATCACGGTTGGTGGGGGAGGGAGAGTAAATTGGAGGTAACTGAGGTGAGCGGCTCGAGAGAGGGCGCCTTCAACACCGGAGCGGGGGGAGATCAGCGTCCAGAGCGGCGAGAGCCACCGAGGGAGCCTCAAGTCCTCAGCAGGGCCTGCCCAGAGCCGGCAGCTCAGCTGACGAGAGCAGGGGCTCACAGGGGGCGGAGCCAGGAGCAGCGGCACCAGCCCTGATTGGTTAAAAACCTGCCCCAGGGAGCGCGGCGAACAGGGCGGGTCGGAGCAGTTCTCGCGGCGGTTGTGTTCTCGCGGCGGTTTGCACGGGCAGGCGCGGGGGAGGGAGGGCAGTAGCGGTGTAAGTAGGGCCCGGTGCGGGAGCTCTGCTCTGCCTGCCCCGGCGGTGCCAGCGGAGGCACCCAGACAGAGCCGATGAGAGGGGAGGCTGCGGTGCAGAGCTCGGGGTGTAGAGAGTGCCTGCACTGGTCTGGTGAGGGGAGGGTGCACAATGGACAGGGCTGCACGTGGTGCTCCCTGGTGGAGGTGCTCCTGCAGCAGGGGCTGAGCTGCGGGAGGCTAGCGGGGTGCTAGGCTAAAAGATGTCAGGGAAGCTGAGAGGAAGCAGGACTGCTTGCTCCTGGCCCTAACTGCAGGGGCCTCAAGCGTCCCCTGTAGCTCATGGAGGAAAAAGGAGGCCGTTAACCTCGGAAGCTGGAAAATAGTAACAAAACAAAACAAACAAAAAACAACAAAAAAAGGAGGAAGAGGACAATTAAAAGCAAGGGGTTTCCTCCTAAATCTGATATCCGTGCCCAGAATCCCGCTTTGCTGTCCTGCAGGGGACTGAGGAGGAAATGCACTCGCACCAGAAACAGCCGGCTGATACGCTGCTAAAGAAGATTACTACTGGTGCTGCAAGAAAAAAGCTGCGGGTCGTAGCAGTAGGGGACTCTACTTTGAAAGGGACAGAAGCACTCATCTGTCAGCCTGACCCAGTCTCAAGGGAGGTGTGTTGCCTACCTGGGGCACGGATCAGGGATGTTGCAGAGAGGCTGCCTGCTCTAGTAAGTCCCACTGACTGTTACCCACTTCTGGTGATCCGTGTGGGTGCTAGGGATATAGATAGTAGTAGCCTGGAGAACATAAAGAAGGACTACAGAGCCCTGGGGGAGGTGGTTAGGGGCTCTGGAGCTCAGATAGTCTTTTCATCAATTCTCCAGGATACAGGGGAGGACCTAAAAAAAGCTAGGAGGATTGGCCAGGTTAATAAATGGTTAGAACAGTGGTGTCATAGTCAGGGGTTTGGGTGTCTTGAACATACGACCCAAGTTTGTAGGCCAGGTCTACAGGGGGCTGGTGGAGCTGCTGCTGAAGGAGGGGAAGAGTGGTTTTGGTAGGAGGCTTACCAGACTGGTGGAGGATGCTTTAAACTAGATGTGTTGGGGGAGGAGGGCATCATTCCATCCCAACACACCCAGTCAGTTGCCAGCACCTATAATAAATGCTCAGAGCAATGTAGAGATGTTCCAGTGGCTCCAGCCAATGAGCCGGCTTCATTTGGAGCTCGCCTCAGATGCCTCTATACAAATGCCCGTGGCATGGGGAACAAACGAGGAGTTAAGAGATGTGTGCATGTCTATGGGGGTATGATATAACAGGCGTCACAGAAACATGGTGGGATGGCTCCTACGACTGGAGTGTTGGAATGGAAGGTTACAGGCTCTTTAGGAAAGACAGGCCTGGCGGTCAGGGAGGGGGAGTTGCCCTTTATGTTAGGGATAGGCTGGAGAGTATGGAACTCTGTCTGGGGACAGGTGAGCAGTCAATAGAGAGTTTGTGGGTCAGGGTTAAAGGGAAAACAGCGATGGGAGACATTACTGTGAGGATCTGTTACAGACCGCATGATCAAGAGGAACCTGCAGATGAAGCACTCTGTAGACAGATAGGAAAAGCCTCACGCTTGCAGGCCCTTGTTCTCATGGGGGTCTTCAACCATTGTGACATCTGCTGGAGGGACAGTACGGCCTGGCACAAGCAATCCAGGAGGTTCCTCGATTGTGTGGAAGACAACTTCCTTCTGCAAGTGATAGAGGAGCCGACAGGGAGAGGTGCCATGCTTGATCTCATGCTCACCAACAGGGAAGGGCTCATTGGAAATGTGATGCTCCAGGGCAGCCTTGGTTGCAGTGATCATGAGATGGTCAAATTTGAGATCCTCAGGACAGTGAGAAGAGCGTGCAGCAAGCTCACTGCCCTGGACTTCAAAAGAGCAGACTTTGGCCTCTTCAGGAACCTGCTTAGTAAGGTTCCATGGGATATAGCTCTAGAGGGCAGGGTGCCCAAGACTGTTGGTTGATATTCAAGGATCACCTGCTACAAGCTCAGGAGTGTTGCATCCCAACGAGAAGAAAGTGCAGCAGGAGGGCCAGGAGACCTCCTTGGATGGGCAAAGAGCCACTGAGGAAAATTCAAAGGAAAAAAGAGGCTTATAAAAGGTGGAAGCAAGGACAGGTGGCCTGGGAAGAGTACAGGGATGTTGTCTGGGAAGCTAGGGACCAGGTTAGGAAAGCTAAGACCCAGTTAGAAATAAACTTGGCTAGGGATGTTAAGGACAACAGGAAGGGATTCTGTAGGTATGTAGCGAATAAAAAACAGACTAGGGACAATGTAGGCCTCCTCCAGAAGCTCTCAGGAGACCTGGCTACCCAGGATTT